GGTTTAATAGAAAAAGGGTTAGAAGAATTGAGGGTTATTGTACTTTGCAAAATTGTAGTGTTAACTTGGGCGTTCCTTGTACAGATTTTGCAGGTTGTTTGACATCCTAAAAGATGGCTTCTGCTCTTAATGTGGAACTCTCAAAGAATACTGTCCTTTTTGGTCTCAAGGTCTGGGAAGTTATTGGGATTATTGTTGGGTTATTGATTGTGTTTATCCTCTTTTTATTGACATTTTATCTTACATCACGAAAGAAATATAGAACTCAAGAAAAACTTCCCCTTAGCCAAATACCAACTGTTTCGAAGGAAATTAAAGAAGTACGAGTGGAACAAGTATCAACTAATGAATTTGTTCCACGTGATGGGATTCTTCTCACCATTCATGACAAATCCAGTGATAAAGAATCAGACAAAGTTTTGGTCCATCTGGGAATGCCGAAAAGAAAGAATGGAGATAACACTAGTCAATCAGGTTCATTTTATAATGTTGATAAAGATTATTGTGGATCACATTCAGGTGAGGAAGGGAGTTCGGAAACATTTGGTGCACATAAATCTTCTTCTTCACATCCAATAACTGCTCCTTCTCCGTTATCGGGCCTGCCCGAACTTTCTCACCTGGGCTGGGGTCACTGGTTTACACTTAGAGATCTGGAACTTGCTACAAACAGATTTTCTAAGGAGAATGTTATTGGGGAGGGCGGATATGGCGTTGTTTATCAAGGACAGTTGATTAATGGTACTCCTGTGGCTGTAAAAAAGCTCCTCAACAACCTGTGAGTTTCGAATGTTTTTTTTTCTCCTTCTGATATTTAGGGCTTGTTTGAGCCCCATTTTTTTTGCAAAAAATGCATTTTACAATAGTGTTATGACGAAGAATGTGTGGTTAAAAAATAAGAATTTTTTTTAGATTTGCGTGTAATATTATTTAATTGAAGAATGTGTGGTTGTAATAGGTCAAATCACTATTCAAGAAAGACTGTATTTTGATGGAAAAAATGAGGCTCAACCAAAGGCTTAATGAAAATACTTACTGGATGGTTTCGAAGGCCAATATTTTTAATATTTTCTTTTTCATCAGGGGTCAAGCAGAGAAAGAATTTCGAGTGGAGGTTGAAGCTATTGGCCACGTGCGCCACAAAAATTTGGTTAGGCTCCTGGGGTATTGTATTGAAGGAACTCACAGGTACTGTGTAATTTGGCTTTCAAATCCAACTACTCAGCTGCATTTTCTACAAAAGCCAGACTCTCTGGAAGATTTGTTCATTGTGAACTCATTTGTGCATGGACATGGTTTTCCATTGCAAATGGATTTAGTCCACTCATTGCATGTTCCCCAATTAGTATGAGACAACTCCAGTTATAAGCTTGTGATCCAAAAACAGAATCCCACCAATGCTCTAAAATTTATGGGACTAGTTTATTACCTTCCTGCTTGAAATTTCTTTAACTTATTCTCTACATTGTAGGATGCTTGTCTATGAATATGTCAACAATGGGAACTTGGAACAGTGGCTTCATGGGGCTATGCGCCAGCATGGAAGCCTTACTTGGGAGGCCAGGATGAAGGTTCTCCTAGGCACAGCTAAGGCGTAAGTTGGTTTATCTATGTTATTATCCTTTAATTTTCTCTTCCAACGTTATAGATCTTATTACATGTGATACGCTTCTCGCAGTCTTGCCTACTTGCATGAGGCCATTGAACCGAAAGTGGTTCACCGAGACATAAAATCGAGCAATATATTGATTGATGATGAGTTCAATGCCAAGGTTTCTGATTTTGGTCTAGCTAAGCTACTTGGTGCTGGGACAAGTCATATCACAACTCGAGTCATGGGTACTTTTGGGTGAGTTTTTTGCTTTCCTTTTTGGTTCTTTCTAAGTTCTACAGGGCCACTGGTTCTTGTTTTATCTCACTTGAGTACTGAAGGGTTGGGTTAAGCATATTTTATATAGAACGATGTGCAATTATGATTCATTTTCTCACATTTTTACTTCAAACAATGTACAGATATGTGGCTCCTGAATATGCAAATACTGGTCTTCTGAATGAAAAGAGTGATGTCTATAGCTTTGGAGTTGTGCTATTAGAAGCAATTACAGGAAGAGATCCGGTTGACTATGGCCGTCCTGCTCAAGAGGTATTCAATCATCTCTCTCCCAGTCTCCGCTAGAAAACATGCTAGTAAATTAAAACTATTCTACTTTTTCATTGTATTCCTATTTGAGGAATTACAAACAAGCGAATTTGACGATATTAAATTTAAGAATTCAATAGTTTTTTTTATATATATATTCTATTTTTATCCATTAGTGGTACAAATATACATCTTATATTGGTATAATGGAGCAGGAATCTCTATACAGCTGAGACTTGAGGCTCCTTTCAGCTACTTGATGAGGTCATGACTTGATTTGAAGTTTAAAAATTTGCTGAAAGAAGCCTTGACGTCTATTTTTTGTGTTATATTTCCTTTTGCTTTATGTAACATTTTTACAAACCCTATTTGTTCCAGTTGAATTTCAACTGAATTATTTCCTCTCGAAATCTGTTGAGTTTGCGTACTTCAGATCGGCACCTCTGTTTTTCTGAGGCATTTCTTTCTTCAGTTTCATTGAATGAAATTGTATGAAAATTGCAGGTAAATCTGGTTGATTGGCTGAAAATGATGGTTGGAAGCAGGCGCTTTGAGGAAGTGATGGATCCATACATGGACACGAGGCCATCAACAAGAGCCCTCAAACGAGCTCTTTTGACTGTTTTGAGATGTGTTGATCCAGATTCAAACAAGAGACCCAGGATGAGCCAAGTTGTCCAAATGCTTGAATCGGAAGAATATCCAATACCAAGAGAGGTCAGTGTCTCTTGTCCTATTGCATAATCTAGTTTACACGAATTTATCTCTTATACAACTACACTTTAATGAGTCGGCATTTTTAGTAAGATCTCCCGTGTTTCTAAAGTATGTATAGAGTTATAAAAGTTGACAAGGTTTTCGCTACGTATATGTGATTTTTATTTTAGAGATGATAAATGTTCAAGTAAGAGTTAGGAAAGATGGTTATTTTTACTCAGTAGGAATGTTCCTTTTTTGTGTTTAATATTTCTTAGATTAATACTTTAGGGTGATAAAAATTTGAGAAAAATAGCTTATAAGTTCCAACCCAACCTACAAACTCTGGCCGACTTCCACTTGCTCTTGAAACCTGCAAGGCTGGCACAATGGTAATTACTCAAGTTTACGTGACAATACGTGGCATTAAATGATAGTTTTAATGCCATGTAGACCGGTGCTAAACAAATACGTAGCATTACTATAATTGAGATCTTGTTAATTTCTTTCTTGAGTGGTAATACTGTCTCTAGTTTCTCACAAAAATTCCCAGGTATAGGCCTTTGCTTTAAATCATAATTTCACTACCTAGATTTTTTGAGTAAAGCTTTCTCTGGACAGCAAACAGTACTTGAATAAACTTGATATTTTTCATACTTATATTTGTAGGATCGAAGGCACAGAAGAACTCGAGCTGGTAGTGCAGAGATGGATTCGCAGCAGAACTACGACACTGATAAAAGCGACAACCAAAATCCAACGTCAGATAAGAAGGATGCCTTTTCTTCCCAAAAAGGTGCTAATCTTAATGCACACGTTTGAAGAGAGTATGGTAGACATGTGGGAAGAGGAGTTTGTCTTGTATTTTTCTTTCAAATTTTATTAATTTTTGGTTTATATTTTGCTTTTTTGGTCTTGTTTGTATTTTCTTTTGAAAATTCTTGTTGTTGTATGAGAAGTAGATAGAAAGACGGTTTTTTTTTGATGGAAATGGTGCCTTTGTGAGAAACCTGAAAAGATTGGTGGGGGCTTTGTACAGATACTGTTGCTTTCTTTAGCTTATTCAGTGATGTTTGATTAAATCCATTTTTCTCTTATAGTAACATCAAGAAGAAATTTGAGTGAACTGGGAATTAATTAAACTAAGGCTGTGTTTGGAATCATGGAAACAGGGTCTTAAAATTTGAATCAATACTTAACAAATTATGATTCCAATTTCTAGGGGCACATTCCTTAATGCCCAAACATAGTGCCTTTGAGTTTTACTATATGTATGGGATGAGCCGAGTCGCACAACTTGTTTACTGTGGAGCGGGCTCGGCTCGGTAAGATAGATCACTCAATCAAAGTCTGGCCCAGCTCAATTTGCTCCACAAGCTTGCACACGAGCCAATGAGCTCGACTCAGGAGTGAGTCGGAGAACGACTCGCCTCCTGCCTCACTTAATGCCCCAAACTCTATTTGCCTTCACGTGTAGAGTAAATTTATTTTTACATTAAAGCCCGATCTATAGAACTGTCATGATTGGGTAGCATAAGGTTGATATGCACTGAGCGCAAAAGAATAGCAAAGCCGTGCCAATTTTGTAATTAGATTATACCCCTATTTGGTGTGGTTAAAAATCAAAATTTCAGTAAATTTTGATAAAAATTTTGATAAAAAATAATAAAATGTATTGTTGAAAAATTTATAAAAGTTTAATCTCATAAAAAGTGTGATTAAAATTAATTATTGACTTTGATCTAAGTTTTTATCAACTTCATAAACTACAACAAACATGGGCCATAAATACACCTTGACAAAATACAAACATGAACAGAGTAAACACAAGCTCATTCACTAATATCATCTGATAATATTTCTTAATATGCATATTGGAAAGATAATCTTTTTTCAAGAATAATTACACCAGCAAAAAAAAAAACTCTTTTGCCTGTCAATATACATAGCACTCATCATATTCGAGCTTTTATTGCTCCCTAAAATTGCTACAATATTACAGAAGAAAAACGCCGTCCTCGTAGCCAGAAAGGCAGATCGTAAAATCAAACTAGATGGTGATAAGACAGGGCATTCAACCTCTCATCATATCATGGACAAAATCTATGTTCTAATGTTGCAAACGTAAAATTAAAACCAAGAATAGTTAAAAAAGAATCGGTTTCTATTCACAAATTTGCTTTCCCTCTGATTGAAGCAACGCCGCATCTGCATCATTCAATTGCTGCAGCTTCTGCTTAATACGGGAGTCAGATACCTTCCCATGTTGCTTCTCATATTCATCCTTCAATTCCTCCAAACGCTTGGACACCTATCATCAGCAAAAACATACATAAGTAACTAATGAGAATTTATCAGAAACCATAAAATATGACCATATGTCATTGGTTAATTACCGTTCCAAATGAAACGACTCCAAGAAAATTCGCACTGGCAAGCAATCACAAATATTTAATCGTTATCAACAATAACTATTAAGGTAATAATTTTTAGTTTATAGAAATGTTTGAAAAGAATTGCTATAACTATTGTCCAAACAATTTACTGTTTAGTATTATCTCATCATGTATAAGCTTTCTGACATATCTCAGCAATTAAAGCTTGGTCAAAACAGCAGGATTGAAAAGGACATGTTTCTAATGCTCTTAGATTTTTCTATTTCAGTATCACGTGAATATAAAACACATTAGGATATAAATGATACAGAGAATGTGCTTTAGATTTGATATGCTACATATTACAATACAATGTTAGGATAAGAGGGAGCAATAGAGAAATTAATAGCAGTTTTTTTTTTTTTTTGCATATCGACATGCGTCAAAAATGCAACTTAGTTATCCCTAACCAATGGCAGCCAAATATCAAAGAATAAATATAGGTGGATTATTAGACGCCTGAGATGTTTTATTTAAGTGGTTTACAATTTTTTGAAGAGTGATCTTGCCCACTCAAAATCCCCTGAGGAAGTGAACAAATTTGAAGTTTTGGGGTAGCACAATACACAGGCAAGGATGCAAATCTATATTTCAGCATTAACTAACAACTCTTTAATACATCAAGTGTATTCCCGTAATTAACTTAATTCTCTCTCTCTCTCTCTCTCTCTCTCATTTTTCTCTTCTCTTGTAACTACAGTGCGACCAGAGGGTTTAGAGAAAGCAAACCTTAATTGCGTAGGCCATTGGTAATAATGTATCTGGGTTCATGGCATCTTCAGGAAAGTGTCGTAATGCATGTATGAGTTTTTCAAAAGGTAACTTCACCTGTTAAAGAAAGATTGTTAAACATGCCCGGAAAAAAATACAAGCACTTAGAGAAGAGGCCGTAGAAACTCACCAAGTCATCATGGCAGTATTTCAGTAGAGCCAAACCAACTTTAAAAACAATCTTAACATCCTAAAAGAGAAAATTGACAAATTAGAATGTAAGTGGCGATAGAGACATAACTCCAAGAAGATTGAACACTAACCTCATAAAGAAAGACATCCCAAATCCGAAGAGCCAAATGGAATGGTAACGAATATGAAAAAACAGTTATGAACCACTGGCTTGCATACATGCTAGGGTTTATCATTTCTTGAACAAAATGCTCTCCCAGCCTTGGCAAGTGGTCCTTCACCAACTGGTCAAACTGGAATAGGTACTGCTGTACAAGAGGCAAACCCACCTGTACCAAATGGACAGCCTTGCTCAGTGTTTTCAAACTGTGTAACAATGCATGAGATAAGAGTTTATATTTGAAAATGCAGCGATGAACAATGTTTGACAGCCACTTTGATTTTACCAAATGCACTTTGGAAATCTGATTATATGTTATCCGATATTGAAGTTTTCTGGATTCTAGTGATGAGGTAAACTAATTACGTCTTAATTTAAAAATGGATGATATGTGACCAAAACTACACCAGATATAATCCTTCCATCGGAGCATGGACAGCTCCTTTCAGTAATGCAACCAATAACCAAAATGCATCTTCCTCACTCATATAAAGGAGCAACAGACCTGCCACAAATCCCATTCCCTACAATCAAGACAATCTCAACATTAATAGGTGGTAGAGAAAGTTGTAGTCCTCGATGATTTGTGTCTGAATAAAATACAAACCTGCACATATCCAACCTCTCGGTCAAATACAGAGTACGCTTTCAATACATTATAAAGGGATCTTTGACCCGGTCCATGTCTTTGCTGGAAGAAAACATGTGAAGGAAATGTACGAGAGATGTCTCTAATAATATCGAGCTCAGAAGCAGATGTCTCGTATATGACTAGTTGCTGCATTGTAAAACCAAATGATCAGTTCAATAAAATAGCAACTTAAAGAGTTCTGAAGTAACACAATTCATCAGTCAATAAACAAACGAACTTATACAAAAATTTATACATCCGAATTGATTATTAAATTCCTTTAATACACGGCAACCGTCCAATTCCTTCAATCTACCACTTACGACAGCCTCTCAATTCAATACCAATGGAAGGAAAAGAGAAAATATACGAACAAGAACTCAGTCAAAATTTCCCTTATTAAATTAATTCAAACACTAATAAACTGTTCAAATGGGGCAAATTTGATAAAAGCAGGCACATCTGCTTGAAAATTAATGATCTCAAAAATAACTGCAAAATGTTGGAGTCAACAATGCACTGGTGTATTCGGTGCAACTAGGTGAGGACGCTAGGTCATCTGTATATAATATGAATACAAGCAATGTAACAATTTGATCTCATCCAATCTTATCAGAAATGTCGAAACACTTACTGAGGACAATATTTCACCAGTGTCACAAGGTAAGTAAAGTAACAGTTCCCCATTGATTAAATAGAACGTAAGAAAATCAAGAATACAAGATGTATAGAAAAAAATTTATTGCTCCAAGTGATTGCCAACGAATCAGAGCCACTCAGTTAATAAAAACGAATTTTTCAACATCCAAATTTGTTTCTGTTCAATGCATTGACAAGTACCAGGTAGAGACCAGCAACTCAACGCTTTTGCAGTTGTGGCATTGTGAAACGCGGATAAACATTAAACCAACCTATTTAATCATTTGGAGGATTCTTCATTTGCATAATTATGTCCAATTCGGGGTAATTTTACTGCTGTGAAGAACCAAAATAATCAAGAACTGTTGCATACATGCTAGGTTTTTGACATACAGAATAAAAATATGTTACCTCATAGACACCTGGATTCATAAGCAAGAGGTCCCGACTTCCAGAGATTAACTGCCAAACAAGACCCCTTAGACAATCAGGAATTCCTTTCCTTATTCTCCTTTTAACAACATGAGGTTTTCTCCGAAGGTAGAGCTTCCAATCACTTCCTCCAACCCCAATCATTTTCCTCCATTTTCTAATTTTTCTTTCCTCCCTATATTGCAAATTGATGTGATGGTATTACAAGGTGCAAAAGACATCCATCTTTAGCAAAAACTGATCATGTAAAGAGACAATCTCAAATGTTGGTACCGTCGAGAAATACAGGGAATAAGAAGCTCGTGATAAAGCAATGTAACAGAATACATTCTGGAATATAACATACTCCTTTTAACATATTTCATAATCCTAGTCATAGTCAGTTTATTGTGGTACTAGAAGTGAAGGCATATTTTGGTATTTTTCGTTTGTTTATAATTTGCAGAAAATTTCACATAAATGTTCGGTTTACTAGTCAAATAATTCAGTTATATATTTACTTAGTCCAGGTTGTGTTACAATTAAGAAGAAAAGAAGAGTAATATATTTATGTAAAGAATTTACTTCAATGGAGAACTCGACAGACTGTATATAGAGTTACGAATTCATGGAAAATATTTATTTCAATGGAGAACTCAGCTTTGATGAAATTATGAAGTCTTTGAAGCCTTTTGGATGTCTTGTGAGATTCCCTGCACTATGGGTTGTGCCTATAATTTCTTCTTTATTTCATATCTGCCACTAGAACTGCGCCTAGATTTTCAGAAGACGTTCTTTTATTTCTAGCACCTCAAATGATCGAGCCCTGTGAATATCACTTTTGAACTATAACTACCCAAAATCTCAGATTTCATAAATTGTGTTCTACCAATATTTTTCTCCGCAATTTTAGCTTTTAAAATTGACACAGATCTTAAGATACTATTTAATCTACTGTCCTGGATCGATTATTCCATCGAATGTCAAAAGATAAAACATGAAAATTGTGCAAAATTAAAGTAATAGCTCATCTCTACATTTCTTGCACTTCTTTGTTCTTTTATTATTTCCTTTTTGCAGAGCATACACTGACAAAAATAGAAATCCTTACTCTAACCAACCACAGTTGTCAGATGTAATACCGCATAACTGAACAGCTGAAAATGTCTATAAGACCGTATTTACTTTTCATTAACATTTTGGTTTTGGTGCACACTAAAAATTTGTGTAGATTCACAGGCTAAAATGTCTTTGGTGTGACGTGGTCTGCTCAGTAAATAACCTTTTTTAGAAAGATGTATTACGAATTGTGATAATAAAGCCTTACAGACAATCTGGAGACAGCTATAATCCTATACACTCGGAAAAAAAGACAATATTTGCACCTCAAGCAAAAACAACAAACAAGAATGAGGGCACAATAACACAGTGAATCGCTGCAAAAAACTCAGGGTACTAGGAACACAAGGCTAAGTCAGCATAGTAACATCACAAAGCATCATCAAAACCATTGCTAAAAGTCTAATACAGAGACAAAGTTTGGACAATCTCTTCTAGAATGTGCATGCATTTTATAATTTCCGTACCTCTCATACTCGAAGGCCGATCTACTCCTTGTTAAACCATCAGGAGAGTTAGCTTCCTGCTTTACGAATCCAAATCTATCAACTTTCGGAAGTGCAACGGATCCTGCCTCATGTTCATCCACTTTTTTCTTTTCGTAGTGTGACGAATTACTTTTAAGGAACACCTAAATTTGATACGAAAGGTTTACTGTTATTCGCAAAATTCCCACACATTCTCCTGTTCCAACATCAAATACGGAAGATTCTCGAACTCGCTGAATTAAAAACAAGAATTCGTTTTAATCAATCAAACCAGATAGCTAAACAAGGAAATGGTAAAGGCTATTCAACCGTGTTCATATAACGCAATAAAAAACGGAAAAATTACATAAATAAAAACAATGTGATTATATAGAAAGTTCTTAATTCATGTTAAAATAAAATGTATGGGATAAAAGGCAACATAATTAAAAAACAAAAACAAAAAAAAACAAAAAACAACATGATGAAACGGCGCTATTCCTTTCGTATGACATGTTAACATATTAACAAAACATCATTTAATAAAAATAACAAAAATAATTAAAAATTAACAATGAAAAGAGAGAAAATCAATTAACCGATAACGATTAACAGAATTACTGGAAAACTAAGAGCGATCGGCTTTTTCTATTTCTGATATTTTGTCGTAAATCTTGACGGAAACTTTTTTATTCAAATATTATTCTGGAAAGCGCAAAGGCCGATAGGAATTCTGGTGCCGCGGGAGCTTTGTTTAATGGATACGTTACGCCGTCGTTGCCCTGCCCCAGGATGAGAAATTGAAAACTCCAGCCAATTTCAAGGCAAAACGTTTGACCTTTTTTATCGAAGATGAAGAAATGTAAATAAATAAATAGTATCTGAGCCCACTCTTTTTTAAACTTAATGCCATCATGGTCACTTAATTTTATTTTGTTTCACCATAACTACCTAAATTTATACTTAATGTTATCATGACCACCCAATTTGATTTTATTTCATCACGACTATCCAATTTCATATAACATTTCACCATGACTACCCAATTTTTTTTTTCCACAATTTTCATTAATTTTAAAAGGGATAAAACAATAAATTTGTATTATATATAAAAATAAAATTAAAAAATATTTAAAATAAGATATAATATAAACTTATTTTAAAAATTTTAAAAAAATAAAAATTATATAGAAAAATAAAATAAAATGAAAGTTTATTTTAAAAAAAACTTTCCTTAAAAAATAAAATAAAATAAAATATATAAAAAAACGTTTTTAAAATAAAATAAAATAAAACTTATTTTAAAATTAAAAAAATTAAATTTATTTATATGTATAATACAAAGTTACCGTTTTGCTCCTTTTAAAATTAATAAAAATTTGTGAAAAATAAATTGAGTGGTCATGATGAAATCAAATCAAATTGCTAAATATAAAGTTTGATAGCCATGATGAAATAAAATCAAATTTGGTGATCATGGTGACACTAAGTATAAAGTTAGTTGGCCATGGATTTAACTCATTTTGAAATAGTAAACTGATGAAAAATATGTGATTAAAAATGAAGAAATTTTTTTTGATGTACGTATAATATTATTTTAATGAATAATGTGCGATTGATAAAAAAAAGGAAAATGTAATTTTTTAAAAATGGAAATCAAATAAGACCTATAGTTGTACTTTTTTCTTTCCTCTGATATAATGAAATTGAACGAGCGAGTTTTTCTTAATTTTTACGATAACGGATTATGAATCAGATTTTGCTTTAAATTAATTACTCCAAATTTGCATTTCTAAATTTGTTGGTTTGTAGAAATTAAATTGATTTTCGTTGAGTTTTTAAAAATAATTATTTGAATAAAAATTGTGTTGAAGTAAAGTATTTAAATTTAAAAAATTGGGATATTAACAAATATAAAATAATACATTCTTATCAACAATGCATTTTTTATATTCCTCCAATTAATGGAATTTTGAGACAATTACCTAAACGGCCACCACAATTTTTATATCTTACACCACATTTTAATTGTATTTAATGTTATTAATTTTGTTCATTACAGTATTTATGTCACTGACATTTTTTCATGTCATTCTTATCGTCAAACTTTTCATTAGTTAACGCTTTTTATATTTGATAACAAGTTTATGTTCAAAAATTCGTTGAATTAGTGTAATTACCGTCATGTTTTTAAAATTTAAATAAATAAAAAGTGCAAAAAAATATTACTTCCTTATTTCAAAGTATGAAAATAATATATTTTGATATAAATTATTGTAAAGGACGAGATCTACTAATTAATGGAAGGTTAAAAATAAAAATTCAACGAAAAAAGTTTTAAAAAAAGCAAAAATTGAGAAGTATAGCTGCAATTAAAATATAGTGTATCAAAATAAAAATTGTGGTTGTAATATAATCACCCTTCACGTAAATACTGCCAAAAGTAAATGACTATTACATATATGCCCTTTGTCTCTTAGAAATTTACAGAAACCTCAATTGAAAAACTTTCCATGACATATTCTCCTTATCAGTAAAAGTACAATGGTTATTTTTATTTTACCTTTGTTTCTGTAATACATTTGAACTATCTTTAATTCTCATTTCTAAAGATTTTTTATTTAAATGTGAGTGTTTTTAGCTATTAAAGATGTCATTAAATTTATGTAACCATGTTCAAATAAAGATTTAGAACAGAATTTTTGCAATGAGTAGTTCCAATTCCAAAAAAGAGTATCAAAAGTGGCTATAGCTTACATTTAGATGAATGAATCACCTGGAGCTCATATGAGAGTTGGTTTGAATGTCCTAACTATGACAAAATGTTTTCGAGATGTAAATGAGCAAGATGTATAATAATATCTTTAAGAGCTAACTTTCCTAATTAAATGCCGTTATTGAATAAGTGTGTCTATTTGTTTATGTAGCTACTCGTAAAAAATCATCTTTCGTGGCTCAAGTAGTAACTACTTTACAGCACGAGGGCGATGAAATACACAATCGTGGTAGTTTTTTCATAAAAGTGCAGTTGAAATATTTAGAGAATAGAGATATTTGGAATGAAAAAGTAACTAACTCGATAATACGTTATCATTATATTGAGTTAGAATATATTAATTCTAGTTAGAAAGTTGAATATTTTTTCAGTAATAAGTATTTTAAATTTTGACTTGTTGTGATTTTCATTGATATTTATCGGATAAGAATTTTCATAATTCGGCTGCAATGCTGGGGATGGGTTTTGGGGTTAGCTCGCCCTCGTGGGATTGCGACCCTTTGTCCCGAACATTGTAGCAGGCGTGTCACCCAATGTTTTGAGCATAAAGATTCCACTGACATGTAAAAGGCTTGCCTAAATGTTAGGGATGCGATAATACATCAAAGAAATTATTCCACAAGGTCGAAGTTAACGGGGTACAATTGTGAAGAAATTCAATACCTCGAGCTCAAGAATGTAGTTATCCGATAAAAAGACTTATCCGTTTGTAACTTCAAATCTTTTTTTCCCGTTCAAATTCAGGTTCTATCAATCAACAAAAACTCAAAATATTTTCCTTTCTTTTGTTCTGTTGATACTTTTTTGATTTACTACTTTGGGTTTCCACGCTTTGAAAAAAATTGGGTATATTGTTCAAGTCATTTGCCTGGTGCTAAATGTTCATTTTTGTCGAGCAGGATACCTAATATTTACAATGTTCTAATAGGTGTGACAAAAAATTTCATTCAACTCGATGTTGACGGACCCCTCCTCGAATGAGATAAGGATTACTCACTTAATCAAATAAATATGATTGCCCCGAAATGGGTACGGGATGTGTACGGAAAATATAGTCCTCGCGTCCACTATCCTTGCTTGAAGTTAATTTTAAAGTTAAGATTTTTTTTAAAATAAAATATTTATTATCATTTTTAAAGAGAATATGCCATCATTTGAGCCCAATTTTCTGGAGTTTTTTTTTAAAATCTCATTTTCAATCATACGGTCTCTCATAAAATAATTATACATGTATTTCAAAAAAAATTCCTTACTTTTTAGTCACACATTCTGAAAAAAAAAAAATCATTATTCCACAGCATATTTTACCTAAAAAATTGGAATCAAATAATGGTCATGAGTTGTTCTTAACAAACTGAAAAAAGTAATAATATTTACTAAATAGAGACAAAAAATAAAAGGAAAAAATAAATAAAAATTTAAATGGGCCGATAAATGGGCCAGGAGACTGCCTCCGCCCCATTTCGTTTTAATCGAATATGAGGTGGGGGGCAAGGTGAGACGGGGTGTAGGTGGGAATGACAAACTCATCCAATACCCATTTTGTTGTCATTCTTACGCTTTGGTAGTTAAAGGTCTCTTCATTGGTGTGCTACTATATTAATTTGAAATCGAATCGGGATCAAATATTTTATATTGATTTAGGAACAAAAAGTCCATATTCTGGCAAATTCTTGAGGAAAAATTGTATTTTCTACAGTGAAATCTAGTAAGTGAGATTTCGAGTAAGTGTACATATTTGCCTTGTTTGGTCTCCATTATTTTCAAAATACATTTCTCCTCTTTTATTTTAAACCATACATTCTTCAATAAAAATAATATTACACGTAAATTCAAAATTTTTGTTTTTTAGTCACACGTTCTCCATCAAATTACTATTTCAAAATACATTTCTAACAAGAAAATGGGGCTCAACTATGCTCATTGTCTTTTTTTTTTCCTTCTTATTGAAATTATTTTACAAAGACTCGTAGAGTAAAAGAATATTGGAGAACAAACACACTTAAAGAGCACAATACAACAAAAAGTTGTAAAGATCTTAAACATGACAAATGATAATATGTTATGATGAAAATGTTGCACTTGTGATTGATCAAGAAGGAAATCTAGAAGGAACTCAAAATTTTTTTCCCTTTTGAAAGATTCAAGAGCAAAACAAATAGTCTATTGATATTGGAAGACTCGATGAATTCTTCAAATATATCATTTATGGATCCAATGTAATTCATAAGTATAGGAATAAACCCTCTCAAAATTGGCCATTCTAGAAAACATTTCAGAATTGAATTGATCTTGGTTTAGAATTATAGCTTCCATACCTATTTTTAGTTTTTATTTTGTGGGGAATCAAATAGTGTTATTGGTTGTAAATGGAAAAAAAAAAAAGGTTTTGTGGAGTAAGGTGCGAGGTGGTGGGCGTTTTCTGTTTGAATTAGTTTTTTTCTTCCTCTTTTTTTTCGCCCATTTCAAATTAATATTTTCGTCAGTAAAAGATAATGGTCAAACACCTCTAGTAAATTACGAAATCCAGGTGCCAAAAATGAAGGTTGAGACCTATTATCAAAATGTTCTATTACATTTATTACATTGATATGATGATAGAACCGTCTTTCTTATAAGTTTTTATCTTCTAACAATCAAATTAATAGTTTCCATTAGAAATTGACGGCGGTCGTGACCGTTCCATGGGGTAGGGACTTGAAGTGCCAAAAAAGAAAGGTTCAAGACACCGTCGTCAAATGGTTCAAAAGTTTGATAGTCGAGTGGAAAATTCCCTCCAACATATAGTTTTATTCGGTACATATTGGAAATATTATCCAAAACAGAAGCATGCCTCGGGGCATCATGCATCTACCCGTCATGGGGAAAAGGTGGGCGGCGTATGGCGGAGTTCATTTCTGGCGGACGTGTTGTAAGAGACAATAATTATCTCTAAATTTAAATTTTATCACAAGAATTAATTAACTAAGCTCATACCCTAAAATTTTCGGCGGGAGTCTTTCCTTTTGGGTTGAATACAATTGTTTTGGCTAATTTGTACAGGTGCTAACACAATGATTTGTACGGCGCACCGTCCCCTTTGTTGACGTGGCCTTTACCCATTGGTGGATGGACAAGTACTGGAGTGATACCATGCCTTTTCCGCCTGAGACCATTTTTTAAAATCTTTTTATTATCATTATATGTAGGGATTAACAATAAAGGAAATGAAGATAATACTGAGAATATAATTTTTTCAACGGAATCATGAGATTGTTTATTGAAAGGGTAGTTGTGAGAATCAGTTTCAATCATTAACGTGGTGGAATGGTTTTTGCTTAGATGTGGACCATAACTGATGTATTTTATTTATTTATTTATTTATTTATGCTGGTGCTGCGTGAGCCATGCTTCATATATGTTCTAGACTGCCACTAGAAATGGTTCAAAGGCTGGAACAATGCTGGAGTTGGTAAATTAGTTGCTATATTTTATTAACTGCAAATTTAATTTGTAAAGAATGTTGGCCTACTTCTGCATTTTGCATCTTTAGCTATTGATATCATAATGTCAAGTTTGTCCATGTGCAAAGAGCCTGCTAAAGGCATGAAAAAGCTGGAAAGGTTAAATTTAAGGCAAAACAGAGAGACCTAAAAGAATAAAATGGTGTAGATCATGGCATAAAGGTCCGTTCCTGCCACCGTTTTGAAAAGGCCTAAAATCGCAAGAGGCATGGGAGAAGTCCATGATTAGGCATGAACCTTAACTGAAAGTGAAAATTCTAGTAACTATTGTACAGAGTAATTTCTTTTTTCTTCTTTCAAATGCCTAATGCATAAGCAGATGAAGCAAATGATGCATCGACTTACCTCATCATTTTGTGTTAGTCAACACTGGAGAAAACTTCAATTTTATATATACAACTTTCTCCGTGTATCCTACCCTAAATGCAAGATTGAAGCTCCATTGACATCATATTTTCCATGCCACACCTTATTAATTATTTATCTTTTGATTTAAGTTTTGTTTTTCTAGTGTAATTTAAGTCACGACCATGGATTTTACAACAGAACTCTGTATTTAATAATACCAACGCCTTTTTATATTAAATTATATAATCATTTGGCCAGTAAAAAAAATTAATTTTATTCTTCCGGGTAAGAATGATGCATGGCCTTACCTCATCAAGTTTCGTAGTCTGAAGACCCAGCAAACGTGTAAGAGTAAAGTAAAATAAAAGAATCCGTACAAGTCCTCTATATCCAATGTTCCTATATATATGTATATAGATGCAGGTCTGAAGCTAAAATAGATTGTCCATTCCATCATGGCTCAGTTAGTTGGTGCAGATGAAATAGAATCATTCAGAATTGAGTTATCAGAGATAGGAAGAAGCTTGAGGTCATCATTTCGGCGTCAACCCACAAGTTTTCGAAACAATTCATTTGTAAGTTCTGCAAAAGATGTTGATCTTGACGATGAATCTGTCTTACAATGGGCTGCAATCGATAGACTGCCAACATTTGAACGATTAAGAACTTCTTTGTTTGATGAAAATGATGGAAATGAAGCTGATGGTAGAGGAAGACGAGTAGTTGATGTGACTAAACTTGGTGCTCCGGAAAGGCATATGTTCATTGAGAAGCTCATTAAACATATTGAACATGATAACCTTCGTCTGTTGCAGAAAATAAGAAAGAGAATAGACACGTGAGATCCTTCTCCTTCTGGATATGAAGAAATATATACTGCTAAAATGACTTTCTACTATACTTCCACACCCTTATATAACTATGTACATTTTCTTCTTTTGCAAATTTTAAATTCATTCAGGTGTTATATTTTGTTT